ATACTAATATACACTACAGTTCCCTACTCGTCCTCAATAAATGTGAATCAATTTTAGGCATTCCATACTATACACACAGTGCAATTAATAGTGAAGTATGTAACTATAATATCGACCACTTAAGATGCAGCAAATGTGAGACTGTCAAGAGTATCTTTGTTACCTTAGTGTGATAGTATACACACCATAATATATATATATTATATACCACACAGGTAGTATATCATCTTATCGTGTAGTTGTGATATGTCACACAATGCCAGCTTGTGAAGTTATGGCTGTTTTGGTCTCACTCCCATGTAGCTCACGTACTAGCATTACCTACGCTGCACTTAGTATACACACACGACATATACACCCAACATATGAGTATATATAAGTTTTGTTATTGGCTAGTTTGTCTTTCGTGATACGTGATGAACCAAGTTCTGTCTGAGCTTGTATTTGCTATGGTGAGTCGATAAATAATACACTGGTGAGATGTCTAATGACAATAAAATGATAGACATAAATAGAGACTCCATACTAGAGGTGATTCACTTAGTCCCCTTCTTAGTGGTAGGTACTTCCCACTTAGAGATAATCTGATAGATCCATCACACTCCACATTTATATATTACCTTTTAGAACTGAAGAAGCTTTATCATCCGATGAGAGGTAAAACTAGTGCTTACTAATATACACAAGCAAACTTTAATAACAGTAAGGTACCATGAGTATATATACAACACACGCTTTCTTTACTAAATGAGCTCCTGTATGATCACTTTATAATACACAGCAATAGACCTTGTATATGATAATAGAATACTGTAGAACAACCTACTACACAGACAACATACTTTCAGTAGTAACTGTACTTATTTAACATTCAGTATGAGTTCCACCCATTCATGCGTATTAACCAAGAATTATGACATATTACTCATGTATACAGTAAATGGGTCAATTTAAAAAAGCTTAATAATAAAGACTAGAGTAAAGTTATTCATCGTCTAATACATCTCCATACAGTAGGCCTCAAATATATGCAACCTCCATAGTATATAATATGGATATGTACCTATTATATGTGATATAGTGATCATTTACAATCTGTCGAACCACACATACCATATCTTGATCACTACGTGTACTAGTGAGCCAAAACTTCATTAAATGCCTCCAGTAGAATAAGCACTACAAAACAACAAGAATCCCCAGGCCCAGCTGCCATGCAGAAATATTAGTATGAATATATATATATATACACACATATTATATATATGATATATATATATATACCACACATATATATATATATATATACACAGTCAAATATATATATATATTACCACAAAGCCAGTTATTATTAGTATTATTACAACCACATATGTATAACATCACTTATATTATATGTACAACAACCACATATTAATATACCTATATTATAGTAGGACACACATTATTAAGCTTACCATGCAAACATTACTGTACTCATTAGTGATATACACTAGCTATTTATTATTTAACGATGACCTCTAATGTATATTTCAACACATTGTAACCAATAATATATTTATACACACAGCAGTCTAAACTTTAGATGGAGTGTCATATATAATTCACTTTATACACACAGTTAAGCAGGCCTAACATGCCAACCGTAATATATAAAAATATATATACACATTCACATTAAGAACTTTATAAAAGGATAATACTCGGTGAGTATATATAGCCGAACACATTCACTAATCGTGAAGGTGTGCGTGGAACCCCGAATCACCTCTTCAGGTTGTAAATCGTGTTTTTAAAAAGTAACTAAGTAACTAAGTAATTAATTACTTTTGAAAATAAGTAATCAGTAAAGTAACGGGATTACTTTTTGGGGGAAGTAATCAGTAATTAATTACTGATTACTTTTTTCAAGTAACTTGACCAACACTGCTAAACACAGCGCCAAGGTCATTAAGGAGAGCTCAACACTATCTCTTCTTTACAGCCTGATTTCTCTGGCACGCCTTGACCTGACACTATCAGCCACTTCAGGTTAGTACCTGATAGTGTTGTAACAACTCCTTCTGCCAAAAAAAAAAAAGAAGACGTTTGGCTGCAGTTTAAAATGTAAATAAAAAACATAATCCACTGACCTCCAGATCATTAAGTTGATGGACAACATATGACTAAACGGTAGTTTTCCATAGTTTTCACTTATAGTGAATAGTGATTACATTACTTGCGTGGTTATTCAATCACTTCAAACGCTTTTTGTGATATTTTGATGTTGAGACTGTCAACACCTTTGGCCTATAAAAGAAAAGAGATGATGTCTTTTTTTTAATATTATCTTTCTATTTCATCTTTTATCTTTTCTAATGTAAATACACCTCTTTGACAAGCCCTGCTCCCTTTTCTTTCATCCTGACCGCTGTGAAGACAAGCCTAGACAAAAGCCTTCAGTGAGGCAGCCCCCGCACACTTGTGTGGTGCGGGTGCCAAAGGGCGGCCCTTGCTCAGTGCTAACAGAGTGACATCATCGTGGCTGGACCTTGTGAGCCTAAGGAGGGATTACTAGTGACTAGCTCCACTGACAAAACCCTTTGAATTTTACCCGTGAGCTATCCGAGCCAAGGCTGATTTAGAAAGCTTTTGTTGGTATTTTTTTTTTTTGTATTATACTTTGTTATTTGTACGACTTGCATACTACATTATCAGTTTGACATTTTGTAGCAGGGGCATGTTTGCCCCCGTGTTGCATCAGTTCTGCTTTAAACAGGTGGCTGCGAACTGAGACACCCAGCTGCCTTACTTTCCAAATGCCAAGTGTTTTCTCCTAGGATTTCACCTTCTTCTTTTTTTCATTTCATAACTTGCCAACTGCCTTCGCTATATGAGAGATCTGGACTTCAGACAGGCTGGTTAAGTAGCTGCACTCTTTTACAGTGGAGGCAAGATGTTACAGTGTGTGTTTAAAGGCTCGTAGACAAGGAAATATTGTAAGAAAACATATTTTATTATCACAACTTTAAGTGCAGCAGTTCAGCATTTGGTATTTCCATATGAACGGAAATGTATAAGACATCAACCAAAATACAAAAAAAAGAAACTCACAGAATCAGACAATCCAGTGCAATTAAATATTAAATAGTACTAAATAATGATGTAACAAATCAAAAACAAGGCAACACAAACAGTACCATAAATAGACTTAAATAAATAACTAATAGAAAATGTTTACAAGCACAGGTATTTTTGCTTTTTAAACTAATGCATAACTCTGATTTTAAATGTAATTGCTTCGTTAATACTCATTGAAAACCTTTGTTTTTTGTGTTTTTGTGTATGTAACGCTTAAAAAAAAAAGACAACACACTCCAGAAAATACACTTCTTTAAATTTTGAAGAAGTGGTTGGTTGCATTTTCTCCTCAGGCACAGTAACATTTACTGACAATAAAGTCAGTGAAAGTAGTCAGGGTCAATTTTCCCCTGCTGTCGTAGTGCATGAGGACCATGGGCTCGTAGGCTGCCGGCACGCAACAGGGATGAGGTGTCCCTCCTTTGGTGATCTGGTGCAGCCGAGACTTGACCTGAGTGTGCATGCTTGCCGGCTTGTAGTTGTGGGGGCAGGTGCCGTCGCAAAAATGCATGGTGTATTCGACTGGGGCTACAACCCAGTCTGTCCAGCCGATGTCTTGGAAGGACACGGTGACTGACTTCCGGCAGCACCATCCTGGTTCAGCACAGTCATCTTCCTTGTTGGAGCGACGCTGCCTCGTCCTCTGCGCGGGGTTGGCTTGTGTGAGGTCTAATTCCAGAGAAAAGATCGGCTTGAGGGCCCCTCTGTTAGCCACCCCTACATCCACAACCAGTGGCTTCCCATTAGTCTTGAACCACTTCTCTACCTCTGGGATGATGTCCAGGTACGCATCTTGAATGTTTGAGATATTAGTTTGGGCTACAGAGTCAGTCCAGGCAGCCGGCCACACTGCTGGCTTTCCCCCATTGACTTTAATTTTAATCTCCTCCCTTGCTTCAGGCCTCACTGAAGTGAGTTTACCCAGAACCTGTCTGGAAATCTTCAGCTCTGCTCGAGCTACAGTCAAGTCATTCTGAATATTCGTATTCTTTTGGAAAACAGCTCTGTACCACCGCATGCTTGGACCTGACCGTGAACCCCTCCGAAGCGCTATAACTGGTGAAACTAAAGAAAAACACACACAAAAAACAACAAAGAAAATTAGAAACAAAGTTGTTAACATCCTTTGATCATTAGCATTGTTTCATAGAATAATTGGGAAGGGGGAAATAAAAGAGTATTGAATAAATTCTTTATGAAACTCTCTTGTAATTGGTTGTTATTGATAACACTAATAAAGTATCCTCAAAGTAAAGCATTGTGTACAAGGTGTGCCTGTCACGCTCATGATTTCTAAAAGCTTGCAGGAATGTGTTTGCTTTTTTACACCACAGTTTCATGACTATAGATTCTATTTTAAGCTACATCAGCCTTTATCAGGAATGTGAACTATTAGGAAAGATATTATTCGTAGTATTCGTAACCACATCACTATAGCAGGTTTTGCAAGTACACAGTGTTAAACCTATACTATAAAAAAGCCTCAGTCTTCTTCTTGTAATCCAACTTTCTAACCTGGCTTTTCACATCACTATTACAGCGGCTCAAGTGGGCGGCCCCGTCTAACAGAGTTCTCATCTGTACCTGGAAAGAGCACAGTGGACATGGTGGATTGCGAGTTTTCCCCCATTGGCTGGCTGGAATTTCCTCTTATCTCCCTTATTTTTCTCCTGTAGAGCTGATACATCTCCCTAAGCTCCTTTTTCGAGGCCTTTTGGGTCAGTCTGGGCTCCACGTCCATACCCAAAGAGCTGAGGATCCCTGTCTTCACAGCCTCCAGAAGCAGAACTGCCTGGCTGTCCATGCTCTCCATATCAGGTGTGTTTTCGTGGGCCTTGTGAAGCTGGCCTTCCCCTGAGGTGGAGGCGAGGAGCAGCAGCGTGCAGGTGACGAGTGGGAGAATCGTGTGGGAGATGCACATGGTGAGCCAGCCGGGTAGGTCTGATTTGTGAGAGCAGCAGCAGTCAATGGATAAGGTTTGCCTATGCTATGAACTAAATTCCTGGCATGCCTTCATTTATAGTGCTCCTGTGTTGCCACACCCCTGTTTGGTCAGGTGAGCCTGTGATGGGCTCATCCAGAGCCATATGTCATAATATGGTAGCATTTTGTGTTATGTGATAACAAGATGTCAACTATAACATCAGAAATGTAAGAAAGAAAAATTTTAATCGTTTGCAAGTTTTTTTGTTTTTATCAACACACAGAAGGAGGCGACAGCAGAAATGGGATGAAGAGATTTGGGGATAAGATTTGGTTACGTCCACCTCAGCATGATGAAGCATTTGAATTTCCAGTTATTCATTACTTTTCGCAAATAAATGATCCACACGGACCACTTCGAAGAAGTCCAACAGAGTTATGCATGTGATAGTTTAATGACCCTCACCAGTCTGTGTCTAAATGTTTCCAATGCAGCTGTGCCCAGTACAGTCAAAGGTCAAAAGCAAGTTCCAACTGATGAGAGATTCACCTAACATGTGTAAGCGGGCTGGCCATTTTCTGGCAAAGATAATAAAAAAAATAAACAAAGGGAGACAGTTTATTACGTCTATATCAAGGCTCTTAATGTTGAGCACCCTACAGAGTAAATATCTCAAGGTTAGATAGAAGACAGATAAAAGAACAAAGAGGCAATCAATGTCAAAACAGGGAACTTTCTTAATCTGCCATGACAGCAATCATGTGGTCACACAATAGACCTAAGCTTAAATGTGTATTTTAGCACGAAATGGATCTGCATATCTGATCTCAGCCTCTTCTGTCCCCTGTGCTGAACAAGAGAGCAAAAATGCTGCAGTTTCCGTCACTGATGATTGATAGGACAGACTAAAGAAGTAAACAAATACATCATGGTGCTCTGCCAAGACCTTATCAGCACGTATAAGTCTCACTTTGGTCAGTAATAAGGGTCAGTGCACTGCCAAGCATTCTCCCCACCCTTATAATTGCAGAGATGTGTGCGAATCTGTAAACAGTGAGTCACCAAGGTGATGAAACAATCATGTGCTTTCCCAGGTGAGTTTTTGCCGGATGAAAGCGAGTGAAAGGTGTAAAGTGACTCACCCTAACTGACATCCTGGTTTAATCTGTCATTAAATGTTTACAGTCTTCTCTGTCGGTCTTCATCTATTGTTAAGTGAGATAGGAAAAAACCCTCTGACTCATTTTGTCAGCATGACTGAGGAGTTTCAGAGTACTGACAGTGAATGTCATCTCCCACACTGCCCAGACCTGATGCAAAGTGTCATCAGACAAGACTAAAATGATGTAAAAGTATGTGTGTCCTTCTGTGTGATGTATATATACACACACATATGTGTCTGATGACACGTTGCATCACGTCTGGGCATCAGGTTCGAGCTGTGAGTGCATATGATGAAATTCACTCTCAGTACGATATACAGCTGTTTTATATAGCTACACATATATATAGATACATAATATGTATTTTTATATGTTTTACAAACTCTCCAGGCACAGAAACGTTCAATTCAGCAGTCATTTCGATTGAACTGCACCCATGTCATACGTGTTTTTGTTTGAAAAAGTTTTCAGAAACAACGTGACAGTGGATCATAGATAGATAGATTTTAATTTTAAAAAAATAAATAAATCATGTTAATATTTCATTGACACGATTTATGACATTAATAATGGATTGGATTTATATAGCGCTTTTCAAGGCACCCAAAGCGCTTTACAATGCCACTATTCATTCACACAACCGTAGCTTGCCTCCACAGCTTGTAGCCACAGCTGCACTGGGGCAGACTGACAGAGGCGAGGCTGGATATCGCGCCATCGGCCCCTTTGGCCGTAAAGTAGGGTAAAGTGTCTTGCCCAAGGACACAACGACCAGGACAGAGAGGGATCGAACTGGCAACCTTGCCCAGGGATCGAACCGGCAACCTTCCGGTTACAGATACGCTTCCTCAACCCCCTGAGCAATGGTTGCCTAACAAGCATATCTGTAACTGAAACCATTCCCATAAGATAACGAGGTGACGTTTTCAACTTCAGACAGCTTGCGCATTGACTTATTGCACCGTGGCGCCCCCTCGTGATCGTAAAGCTACACTACAGAATTTAATTAGCTAAGTGAGGCTGGATTTGGTCAGGAGAAGGACGTAATTTTTAGCATAAACCTGAACCCAAGGTTGAGACAGACCAATAATACAGAAATGCTTTCTGTTCAAGATGTGAAATATTTTCTATATCTAACATGTCTGTGATTTCATCTCTAAACTGAGAAGTAACTACCAAACTTCACAATTGTACGGGGAGTTTTATCTCTTCCTCTTTACCTTTCCTTTTCAGTGAACAAAAATAAACTTAGACTGAGTAAAAAGAGACACGGACGACTGGTGCGGTAGTAAAAAGATGACTTCAGCGGAGCTCCAAACGCTTTCACGGTCAGTCTTGACAACAGGCCGATGCACAAGAGGGATTCTGTCTGTTTCCAGTTAAATTAGATTCAAAGAAAAATGAATCAGGTGAATACAACAGCAGGCCGAGCGTCACAGGGGGAATCCACCCATCTTCAGTGTCTCATGGTTGGAAATCACTTCCTTGTAGGATTATGGTGTGCTTGGGCTGTAGTCTTGTTTGCCGAAGAGAACAGATTTAAAGAAAGGCAAACAGAAAACCCAAACACATTACTGTTTGTCTGTGATCACCATGGCTGACTGGCCGCAGAGGTTTGAAGTCAAAGACTTATACAGAGAACATGAGGAAACAATTTCAAAATATTTAATTCAAAGGTCTAATGCTTTAAATCTGCCACAAAAAGTCTGAAACACTTTTCACTTTTCATAAAAAGCTGTTTCGAACAAATATGAAAAAATGTGGATATGTTTTAGTCAAGTGTTTCACACCTTCCCTCCGTAAAGCAGTCACACAAAGACAAAACAACACACCGTAGTGTGATAAACTGAGTCACTGTATTCAGTCACTCAGCTGAAAAAACCCAAAACTTTATTCTGACACAGTAAGTTTCCACTTTAGCTGTTTCAAATCAACAGTGAATTTCACGGGAGAACAAGGAAGGGTTCACATCCCCTCCCCTTATGTAAACTTACGTGTTACATCACAGGAGAAGAGATCGACCATTGTTTTATGAAAAAAAACAAACAAACCCCAAAACAAAAACATCATAGTGAGTGTCACTGCGTGACAGGCACAGATCAGTCCCCGCTGTTCAGCTTGACTTGAGAGCTCGGTTGTTGCGCATCCTCTCACTGTTAAAGCATGATTCCTCCAGGCACAAGCTGTTATTTGGCATGATGGGTTTTTTTTTCTCCTTTTTTCACAAGCTCACGAGAAACATCCTGCGTGGATGGCAGCATGCGGAAATGAATGGAGTGCGCGTGTTTCATGGGAATTTTGGTGGCAATGAAGAAAGGTGTCTGTTTCACACCTGTGTTGAATATTCATGAATTGTTTTTTTTTTTTTTTTTTTTGTTTTATTTATGGGGGTGGGAGGTCTTGGGTTCTTAGGGGTTAAAAAAAGGCCATTTAGCTACAGACAGTAAGGCGGTCAGCTTTTGACAACTAGATGACAGAACGTCGATAAGAAGGTCAAAGCGCCAACCCCTCTCTTCATTAATAAGGTTAACACGCTGCATCTCTTCCCGGTCGGGTGATCAGCTGACTGGAGGACTGGTGGTGGCCACCTTTTGTGGTAGGTCGTGCAGCTCGCCCAGGGGAGGAGAAGGGGGAGGAGTAGGAGGAGGTGTTGATGGTGGTGCAGTAGAAGCAGCAACAGCAGGAGGGAGGAGGAGTGTATCCAACGCTCCCGGGGAGAGAACGGAGCGCAGGAATGGGCTGACTGACCGGGGATCCGCCGTGTGCTTTCGTTGTCTTCAGTGATGGATGAGCCGAATATCCTGAGACGCCGCGGTCTACAGGTAAACGGAGGCTGGCTGTCATGACAGCGCGCGGTTGTGGTTGTTTCTAGGGAAACGAGATTAGCTCAAAGTGATGAGCCATTTGCCGACGATGCAAGGCATTGATGTCAGCGTGGCTTATGTGGCGTGAGCTTATTTTTCATTAAAAAAAAAACAAACCAAAACTTTCACCGTTGCTCTTTAGATCTGTGCTTTATTGATTAGATTATGTGGCATCGTTAGAAAATATTATGTGCACTGAGCATCTTCCCCATGCCCTGTGGGCATCCTTTCAGAAAAGGTGGAGTCCCACGAATCGCAGCAACGGGGACACATAATACATTTTATGAATGTAAGGTGTGTATATCAGACCTGACCTCACTACTACTTAGCTATGTGTTTATTTTGGAGCTCTTTCTGTGTGCTTTGGACAATCTGGTTGCCTTGGTGATCTGGAGCACAAAAGCCAATGGTTCCTGGAAGACTGTCAGAAACATCTTCTCCTGGGTGCCATGTTCATTTGAGATGTTCACAGAATAATTAAGTGTTTGTTTTTGCTCCATTAATGTCTGTATTTTCTGAATTCATTTAGTAGGCAAAGCTGCATTGTTTCCACCCAGGGTCTGTTGAGGCGGTAACACTGATCATCAGTCCAAACTGGGTGTTCCCATTCCCTTGTCTCTGTTTATAGTAACTAGCCTTTTCCCACCTTGCATTTATTGAATTTCAATGAAGTGGAGCGATGCAGTTACAATGAAAATAATGGTCATGGTGGAAATGCTGTTTCAGTGCACAGTTCTCCCTTTTTTAAAACCATCTTCATAGTCACTTTCTCAATTTTCAGACCACTGGAGGTAATGAAACAAGTGCAGGTAGTCTCAAATTCTGTGCACAGACTCTCGCAGTGTGACATGGTGCCACCCTGTCCTTCAAATCCTGACTGGCAAGAGCAGTTTTACAGTCCTCTTAGCTGAAACTCACGGACCGAGGATTTGCAATTAAATGGCTACAAGGCCCACTTGTCATCGCCAGAAACTAGGCCATTCAGCAGCTAATGATATTTACATAGTGCCGATGAAAAAATAAACAGGAGTGACACAGAACAAGGCCACCAGGAAAAACTGCAGCGTTATTATTAGCACCTTGTGACTGTAAGCATGAAATGTAATTCATAGCAGTGTATTCAAAATGATAGGTGTCCTCCTTGACAGC